AGAGAGTGGATGCTTCTGTGCCCCACCCCCCAAAGGGGACACAGATGAGAGAGGAGAATGAAGGGGATCAGAAAGAAAGAGAGAGACAGGCAGAGAGAGAGAGAGAAGGAAGGAAGGGAGGGAGGGAGGAAGGGAGGGAGGGAGGGAGGGAGGGAGAGAATCAACAAAGAAACAGGCTGACTCCATGCTGTGGGGCCCCACACCCCTGCACACCACAGTCACCCCAGAGCTTAGTGCCTGCTGCCGGGACTGAAGCTTTGGCTCCTGGTTCACCCAGAAACTTTGGTGTGCTCTATCAATGAACAACTGATAAATTTCTTTCTCAACAGTTCCCTTTCAGGATAAAATCTTTGAAACAATAATAAAATCTGGGGCACCTGGGTGGCTCAGTCTGTTGAGCGTCTGCCTTTGGCTCAGGTCATGATCCCAGGGTCCTGGGATCGAGCCCCGCATCTGGCTCCCTGCTCAGCGGGGTGCCTGCTTCTCCCCCTCCCACTTCCCCTGCTTGTGATCTCTCTCTCTCTCAAATAAATAAATAAAATCTTAAAAAAAAAATAGTAAAATCTTTGCAACAATAGCCTGGGGTCCACTGAGAGTGGTAGAGGACAGCAGGATCCCCTTGGTCCCTGTAGAGAAGGAGTGAGCCCTGGGTGGGAAGGGGATTCCAGGAAGCCTTGAGATTGCCTCCCAGAGGTACGGGGCTTGGAGACTGGCTGAGCAGACAGCCTCAGAGGCCAAAAGCCCTGCCCCAGACAGGCCCGCCCTCATCCTCATCTCCTGTCCTGCCAGTCTCACCCCCACCTTCCTCCTTCTCCCACAGCAAGCAGGGGCAGGACCCTAGTTCCCGGGCCAAGGCCAGATACCCAGGCCAGGCCTACGAGGCAGAGGCAGGTACCACTGAAAGAGGGGCTCCCTCAAGATGCCTTGCCTGGATATACCTCCCGGGTAGGTGGCAGAGGAGGGAGGCGGGCCTGGTGGGGCCTGGTGCAGCCCCTGCCTCCCTGCCTGACAGCATGGCCCCAAAGCCAGCCGCCAAGCACTGTCCCCCGCACCCCCGCTCCGGCCCAGCCCCCCGCAGCCTCGCGCAGACTCGGGTGCCGGCCAGCATCCAGATCGGCCAGGGGCAGCCTGAATGGGAGCTCGTTTCCTCTGCTTGGCCAGCCTAGTGCCAACTTGGCTCTCCCCACACAGATTCAGCCCTGAAAGAAGCAGAGAGGCCTTCGGTCTTCACTCAGTACAGGAATCCCGTCCCTAGACTTTCTGAGTTCCTTACATCTTCAAGGAGAGAGGCTTCGCCACCTCACAGGGGCCCCCACACCCTGGCTATGCAGCTCCAGCACAATACAAGCCACCATTTTTGGCAACTTCTGATGGGCCAGGCACTGTGTCGGCCTCATGTTCGTTCTTTCTCTCTTCCTTCCTTTCTTTCTTTCTTCTTTTTGTCTCTCTTTTTTCCTTTCTTTCTTTCTTCTTTCTTTCTTTTTTTCTTCTTCCTTCCTTCTTTTTTTAAGCTTTTATTTATTTGAGAGAGAGAGCGAGCACAGGGAACAGCAGTGGGAGAAGCAGGCTCCCCGCTGAGCAGGGAGCCCAATGCGGGGCTCAATCCCAGGACCCCAAGATCATGACCTGAGCTGAAGGCAGACGCTTAACCACCCAGGCACCCATTTTTTTTTTTTAAGATTTTATTTATTTATTTATTTGAGAGAGAGAGAGAGCAGGAGGAGGAGCAGGAGAGGGACAAGCATACATGGGGCTCCATCCCACGATCCTGAGATCATGACCTGAGCTGAAACCAAGAGCCAGACGCTCAACCCACTGAGCCACCGAGGCGCCCCGATCTGGCATATTTTCTCCCACAGCGGCTCCATGAAGTAGGCATTACTGTCACCATCCGCATTTTGCCGATGTGGTAACAGAGGCTTAGAGCCGTTCAGTGTCTTACCTAAAATCATGTGATATAGAGAGATTTCCTTCCTCCATCCAGTGGGAGGGCCTAGAAACAGTGACACCTCAAAAGCCATGAGCACACCCAGTGCCCAGATCTGGGTTTCTTTCTTTCTTTTTTTTAAAGATCTTATTTATTTATTTGACAAGAGAGACACAGCGAGAGAGGGAACACAAGCAGGGGGAGTGGGAGAGGGAGAAGCAGGCCTCCCGCAGAGCAGGGAGCCCAATGTGGGGCTCGATCTCAGGACCCTGAGATCATGACCTGAGCCGAAGGCAGACACTTAACGACTGAGCCACCCAGGTGCCCCCAGATCTTGGTTTCTGAACACCATCTCCAATAAAAGCAACTACGCTCCTTAGAGAAGTGACTGATTCTAGCACTCAGGCAGGTAAGACACAAGGGTAAACACAACGCAAGCCTCGAGCATCTCATAGTGCCAGAAAGTAAGGAAATGCTAAAAAAAAACAAAACAAAAAGAAAAGGGAATGTCAAACAGACACAGGAGGGACACCTGGGTGGCTCAGTCGTTAAGCGTCTGCCTTCCGCTCAGGTCATGATCCCAGGGTCCTGGGATCGAGCCCTACATCGGGCTCCCTGCTCAGTGGGGAGCCTGCTTCTCCCTCTGCCTCTGCCTCTCCCCCTGTTTGTGCTCGCTTTCTTTCTCTGTCAAGTAAATAAATAAAATTAAAAAAAATAAAACCCCCAAACAGACACAGGAGTGGATAGGAAAAAGCTCCCAAGCTGGAACGATTTGAACAACAAAATACATAACTTAATATTTAATTCTAACCCAAAGGAAAGATACAAAAAGGCACAGGTCCTTTATGATAACTGACTGATCATGTAAGTAGGGAAAAGGAACAAAAATCTTCCTTACAGAAGAATCCCAAATAATGGGATAAAGGGAGATATATCCACCAGGAAGCGGGAGTGTGCCTTGAGTGTGGGCTCCACTTGCTTCCAAAGAACAGAGTACAGACAGGGGAAGGTAGTAAACTTCACAGTGGGGAAAGCCTGGCAGCCCCCAGCTTCACCATGTAATCAAGGTTAACATCACCTGTAATAAGTCACGTGAACATCACATGCCTCCTGAGGTCATGTGATGAGAGGGGCACTTGGCCTCTGAGGTATTCTTCCCCCAAACTCAAAACTTCTGCCCAGTCATCAGAAAAACATCAGAGAAACCCAAACGGAGGGACAGTCTAACAAAATTCTGACCAGAACTCCTTAAAATTGTCAGGGCCATGGAAACCAAGGGCAGACGGAGAAACTGTTGCTGACCAGAGGACACCAAGGAGACGTGAGAACAAGGCGCAATGTGGGATCCTGGATCGGATTCCTGGACCAGAAAAAGGACATTAGTGGGAAAATCGGTGAAATCCAAATAAAATCTGGAGTTCACTTAATAGTCATGTACCGTGTTGGTTTCTTAGTTTTGACAACCATACCATGGTAATGGAAGATGTTACCAGCAGGGAAACGGGCATTTGGAACTCTCTGGGCCACCTCTGAAACGTTTCTGTAATCTACAATCATTCCAAAGTAAAAACTTTATTTAAAAAAAAAAAATCACATGGCGGGGGGCCCCAGGTGGCTCAGTCGTTAAGTGTCTGCCTTCAGCTCAGGTCATGATCCCAGGGTCCTGGGATCGAGCCCCACATCAGGCTTCTTGCTCAGCAGGGAGCCTGCTTCTCCCTCTTCCACTCCCCTGCTTGTGTTCCTGCTCTCGCTCTCTCTCTCTCTCTGTCAAATAAATAAAATCTTAAAAAAAAAAAAAGATTAAAAAAAATCACATGGGTATAAATATCTGAACCAGGATTCAAATTCAAATGTATTTGCCCCCTTGGCCCATACGCTCCACCCTCCCTGCACCATCTCAGGTTAGAAAGTCATTCCCAAAAGCTTATTCATGGGTCTGAGCATCTCCCCATCTGCCCATGTTTGCCTTCTAGGACCAACCTGGCTCACATTTTCCTTGACCCATGACCTCCTTTTGAGGGATGAAGGATGCTCTGTCCCCCCAGATGTGTTCACATCTCCAGGCTCATTCCCAGGTGCTTCTACTCTCCTGGGTGATTTGGGTTTCAATGAATATTGGCCTCCCCAGCAGCTACCCCTCCTCTGCAGCAGCCATCAGACTCCACGTGGGAATCCATGGGGTTCCAAGAAATGTAAATCCCCAACCTGGCTACAGAGCTAAAGCACATGACCTGGGCTAGGTCTGTCAGCACACCCCATCCCCTGGCCACTGTGATCAGCCCAGAGGTAGCCACGTGACCCAAGCTGGTCTAGTCAGAAAGCATCCCCGGACTTTGACAGGGAATGCTGGGACAAAGACAATTCCCTCCTTCCATGTTGGATGTGAATGAAGAAGCCCCTGGAAGCCTTAGGATGAAGACAATACCAAGGACAGCCGAGTAGAAGAATGGAAAGAGCTGAGTCCTCAGTGACATCAAGGAGCTCCTGGATCAAGCCTTGCTTGAAGCCCACCCTGCCCATATACTTCTTAGTTATGAGAACTGTGGTTGGCTGAGATCTGACACAGACACACAGAGGAGAAGGCAGTGTGACCACAGAGGCAGAGACTGAGTGGTGTGGCCACAAGCCGAGGAAAGCTGGTAGCCACCAGAGCTGGAAGAGGCAAGGAACCGTTCTCCCCTGGAACACATCCCCGCTACAGGGCAGAGCACGGCCCTGCCGACACCTGGATTTGGGCCCAATGATACGGACTTTAGATTTCTGGCCTCCAGAACAGTCAGAGAATACATTTCTATTGGTTTAAGTCATCTCGTTTGTGATCATTTGCTACAGCAGCTGTAAGAAGCAAACACAAGAGCCAATAAAGTCTCTTCGATCTCCAAGCCTAGTTGAATCTGATATTTTGTCAATTGCAGCCCAAAGCTGTCTAATTCATACCCAGCACTGCTGTCTCCTCCTCCGGGTAAGAGGTGAACTCTCCCCACTGGGAGGCAGCCAGGGAGCCTCCTGACCTTTAGTTGGAGGAAGTGGGGCTGGGGTGGGGGCAGCATCAGACAGCCCGCAGACTCCAAGCAAAGGCATCATGGGAGTTTATTTACAGAAAAGTCACAGCCACCAGGGCCCATGCAGGCTCTGGCCAGAAGACCCCAGATATATACATCTATATACATATAGGTCCCAGCACCCATCAGCACGAGAGCTGTCCCCAGCTGGGCCCCTGCCAGAGGGACCAAGAGTCATGAAGGGAGTGGGCTCCAGTCCTTGCCAGCTGTCACAGGTCACCTGTGCAGTCCCTCTGTGGGAGGAAGAAACTGGTGTCGGCCCTGAAGTGTGGACCTGGAGGAGTGTGAGGATGGGCTGTACTCTGGACGCAGGCCGTGGAACACCAGCAGTGGCCTGGGGCTTGGGACACTACAGGTCCCTGCAGACCGGTGCAGGAGCTGGGCACGGAGCTGGCGTCCCAGGCCATGGCTGCCCATCATGGGGGGGGCTCTCCCAGTTTGCTGGTGGCACTTGTGATCCGCTTATTCTCTCGGAGATTTCGAAGGCGGGCACTGAGGCTGCTGATCTCTTCCACGTAGGCCTGGGGCACCCACCCCTTCTCGCCATCTGCCAGGCGGACCCCCTCCAGCCAGCCTAGGGGCACGCAGGCCAGGAGCAACATCAGTGGCATCAAAGGGACTCCAGGGCCAGGTCTGCCTTGTCTGCGCCCTTGGGCCAGAGGTGACATCATCCCAGCACCCCAGTTCCAGGAAGGACCCTGCCTCTAGCAGTCTTGTAGATGAACTTCTGACCTGTTTTTCCTGACATCCTCTAAGAAGGGTATTTCCCATTCTTTCCCATCAGTCACTCTGCATCCTCCAGCTTTATAAGCGGGAAGTGCCTCCTCTTGTCTAACTTGATTCCTGCATGCTGTGGTTGATCAACACTTGCACAACTTTTTCCTGTGATGTCTTAGACATCTAGCTACCTCCTGCCCACCCAGGTCCCATCAGGAAGGCCTTCCCAGGAGGCCCCTCTCACCGTCACTGGTTTGGGTCCTCACAGCCAGGATGTCAGTCTTCTCCAGGGTCAGCTCGTCCGGCTGCAGAGCCTTGTATGTCCTGACACACTGAACCTGGGGGTGGTCTGACAGCCCAAGGGAGAGCGAGGGAGTCCCCAGGGGGGGATGATTGGGGGCGGGGAGGGGTAGGAGGAGGAAGGAAAGGGGTCGGAGGGTGGGTGGTGGCTCCTGCTGCTTCATTTGCTCCGCGCCTCCCGCTGACCACCCTGGCCACTGTCCTCTTACGCTAAACACAAGCCCTTGGTGAATCCAGTCCCTCCCAGCTTGGGTTATTGCCCAGGGCTCTCACCTCCCCAGCTCAGTCTAACACCTTGACGCTGACCTCCAGGCCAGTGTCCACCTGCCCCCAGACACCCCCCCACAAAACAGTAACGGCCCCTTCCTATGCCCCTGCTACTATCCAGGGCTCCCTCTAATCCATCCTTCTCAACTGGGACTTCCCACTCCTCTGAGTAAAATCCAAAGTCCTCCCCACAGCCTACAAAGCCCTGCATGGTCCGGCATTGCGTCCTCACTAGCCTCCCCTCCTCCCTTCTTTTTCCCCTCCCCCTCCCCCTCCCCACGCCCCTTGCTCATGAAGCTCAGCAACACTAGCTGCCCTGCTGTTCCCCCAACATTCTGAGCTCCCTCCTGCCTCAGGGCCTTTGCATTGCCTGTCCTCCTTCCAGGAGTACCTCCCCCCAGAAGAGGCTGCCCCTCTTCATCCTGCAGGGGCCTTCCCTGACCACCTCTCTGAAGTGGGACACTCACCCCACAGCCCAAACAGGACTCTTAGCCCAAGCCAGAGAACCTGCTTCGATCTAGGCCCTAGGCTCTTTCTACCACGGTAGACAGGCTGGCAGTATTGCAAAAACCACAGGCTTTGGGGCCAGACCTGGCTTGAATCCCAGCTCTGCTCCCCACTGGCTGTCTGACCTTGGGCAAGTTACTTAACATTTCTGAGCCTGTTTTCTCAGATATGAGAAAATGAGTCTACAACAGGGTTATCATGAGGACTGAATAAACTAAATGCGTATTAAAGCCCCTTACATTGGGCCTGATGCATGGCAAGCATGGGTAGAAACCAGTTCCTTTCCCTTATTCGTTAGCTCAGCCCTAACTCCCCCACTCAGAAACCCTCAAGAGCAGCCTGGTATCCACTATATCGGGGTCCCTCTCTGATTGGGCAGCACTCTGGCTTACCGGCCTCACTCACACCCCAGAAAGAAGCCTCCATATCAACAGAGCTGATCCCACACCCCCCCACCCCCTGGCCACTTCGGTTCCTGCCCTCTTTGCAACAGAAGTGAAGGTGGAGACAGACCCAGGCTCCAGCCGCAGCTCTGCCCCTTACTAGTTGGGTGAACTTGGACAAGTTACTTTAACCTCTCTGAACCTCTGTTTTCTAACTTGTAAAATGGGTTTCTGTAGGGATGAAATGGGAGGATACAAAAGGCTTTGCCATCTCCAAGGTGTCGCCTGAGCATATGGTGGTCGGCCTGGCCTCTGTAAATGTTGTCCCTCTTCCAAGGATCTGCACAGTGGCCCCTGACTGCCCCAGGCCGGCCCCTGACTGCCCCAGGCCGGTTGATCTCTCTCCCCGCTGGCTCTGCTGGTAACATGGCACCAGGATGGGAGGAAAGGGGAAGAGGAGTGAGGGACCCAGCTGGGGGGATGCGGGCCTTGAGGCGGGGGGGGGGGGGGGGGGGGCAGGGGGAGGCAGGCTGCTACCTTGGCCCTCGCTGAAGACCTCCTTCTCCTCCTGGGAGCTGGAGGGGCACATGGCTGAGATCCATCGCTGCTTCTCACTTCTAGGGAGGGGGAGGCTGAGTTGTCACAATGTGCAAAGTGCAATCTCCCAGGGCCAGAGTGGCGAGACAGGGCTGGGAGAATTGGGGTATGATGTCCAGACTCAGGACCCACCCAGGGCCCGCCCCACAGCCCTGTCGGTCCCCAAGCTGGGGCCCCACCCAGCTCCAAGCATAAGAGAGCAGGCCCGGAAGCCTCTGGACACCAGCTCCGCCCGTGGCCTGCCTTATGCCCCTGTCCCCGCAGGCAGACTTGAAAGGCCTTGTGCTTGCCCGGCGGGGTGGGGGGGGGGAGTTCCTCTCTCCCCACACCCAAGCCCACTCACTCAGTCCGGGCCCTCAGCAGGAACTGGTGCTTCGCATGTGGCCCATGGAGGAGCTGAAGGAGGAACACGTGGCCGGGGATGCCTTGGAGCTTCAGGCTCAGATCCTTCACCTGGAGCTCGGCCATCTTGGCATGGACAAACACGGCAAACTTTCCTAGCCTGCGGGACCAGGGGAGGTGAGGTCAGCCTGGCTCACCCTCGGGACAGGGGAGTTCCGATCAGAAGGGAGTGGCTGCCCCTCTGGCTCCCTCCCCATTGGCTGCGGAAGGGCATCACCCCCCTAACAGCCAGCAGAGGCCCCACAAGGAATGGGGGACACCATTCCCGCGGGCTCCCTGACAGAAGTAGAAGGTGACAAAACCCAGTCCCTGACCCCAGGCATGCTTTCAGGTTCTCTCTGAACTGCTCCCCGCCCCCCCGAGTCCCTATTCTAAAGAGCCAACGGGCAGCCCCCCAGATGAGACCCCTGCGCTGCTTAGTGTTTGACTCTCGGACCGGTGTAGAAGCTGAACTTTGTCTCTTGTTTGCCGTTCTATCCCAGCGCTTGACACTGCCTGGCCCATAATCTGGGTTCCATAAACACTTGTGGGAAGGATGGGCAAGTGAGTGGGTCCAGGAGGCCCCACAGATTCCTTCTTCTCAACCTGTCTAAATAGAAGTCAGTATCTCCCACTCCAAACCAGACACCTTCCCTGTTCCCCATTCCAGGGAAAGACTCCATCAAGTGGCCCAGGAGGAAACTCTGCCATCATTCCAGCCTCTTCCCTCCCTCTCCCCGCACACCCCACCAGCAGCCCCATCCTACCTAACTCCCTATTGTCCCTGGAGTCCACACAAATCCCGACCACTTTGGGGGCATCTACTCTCACCTGGGCAATTGTAATAGCTTCTGGTCTCTCTCCTTCCAGTCCATTCTCCAAACTGGCCAGGAGTAAAATGTCATTCATCTGCTTAACTCTCCATGCTCCCCATGGCCCTCAGAAAGCACAACCTCTGTACTATGACTTTCAACAACCCAACTTCTTTTTCTTGACCTTCCCCTCTACGAATCCAGCCGTATTAGGCTTCATCATCCCCCAAACACACTCTGCTGTTATACCTTACTGTGACTTTGCTATATCCTCCCAAACTCCTTCTCCACCTGGAAAACTCCTACGTATCTTTCAAAACCCAGCTCAAATGTCCCTTCCTCTTTGAAGCGTTACTGATTCTCACCCCATACCAGAAGTTGCTACAGTAGGAGTGCACCTTTCCCCTCAAAACACTGACCAGGTGGTTATCAGAATGTATCATCATTGTCCTGAGAGCTCCTGTAGGCAGAAATGTCCCTAGCACCCATCAGGGCCCGGAAGAGAATAGGGATTTGGTGACACTTTAGTGAGTGAATGAATAAACCAGGAATGAACCCTTCCCATAGTCTAAGAAGTCCTTTCTTCATCACATCCAGCCTTAAGGCGTACCTCACTCAGAAAGACTTCTCCCTCATCCCAAACTGATACCAATCACAGCTAATACGGAGTGAGTGTTCACTGTGTGCCAGGCATTGTGCTAAGCTCTTTCCATGTATTATTATCACACTGAGTGTCCCTACATGGTAGCCTCTATGTTACAGATGGAGGATAAGATAATAACAATGGTGAAGAGCCTGGGATCGGACACCGGACAGATCTGGCCTCCTGGCCCCTGCACTTACTAGATCCATGCTCTTGAGAATAACGAGGGAGCCTACTTCCCAGGGAGATGCTTAGAGGACTGAAGAGAATAGTGCACACAGGATGCCTGGCACAGGACAGGCGCTCAGTAAATGTTGGCCATTATCAGGATGAGTTGGGGCGGAGCTGGGACTCCAGGACGGTGCTCTTAATCTCTGCTCTGCAGACAGCCCAGCCCTTGGTTCTCAGGTCTGGAAAATGGGCTGGCCTCACATCTCTGCCTTTTCTGGGGGAACCTCCAAGGCTCGGGGTGCTCCAGCAGCCCAGACAGGGGCTCCCAGGCCTAGTGATGGACTGTTTGGGAGCCTCATGGTGGGGAAGAAGGGACCTGGCTCCGATCTACTTCCCGCACCCTGCCCAGACTCACTCCTTCCGCCGAGAGAGCAGCAAGCAGTCGTTGAAGAGGTGCAGGTAGACTGCCTTGCTGGACAGCTTCAGCTTGGCGGGGGGTGCTGCGGGCAGTGGTGCCAGCTCCATCAGTTCCCCGTGCCGAACCAGCCAGCGGGCCTGAGAGATCAGTGGGAAGATCTGGAAGGATGGAGGGGGCCAGGCGGAGGGCAGGTCAGGCCCGGGACAGCAGGGCAACAAGCACAGAACAGGGGAGGGGTGGGGCAGGGGAGCGAGGAACTGGCCTGCCATGCTCAGGGAAGGAAGGAACAAGAGCAACCCCTTTGTGGCCCCCATCCCGCCAGCAGCAGGCATGCACCTTGCCCTCAAAGTGGATCTTCTTGCTCAGATGGATGAGCTCCTCTGTCCTCTTCATGGACTGCACACTGGCATTGCACTCTTGCACCAGCTGGGGAGGCCGTGGGTGGGTCACCTGCGCCCCCCCCCCCCCTGCTCCCAGAGCCTAGCCTCAGGCTCCCACCTGGGGACCAGAGGCTCTGATGGCTGGGGCTCATTTAGAGATATGCCGGGGATCTGGGGGCGCCCTGGGGAGCTGAGCTCACCTCCTTGAGTGCATTAAAGGCTTTGGTGGCCACGTCTTCGTCTTCAGAGCCCTGTGCTGTCCGCTTCAGGATGTTCTGGAGGGTGGGGTCGGTGCAATGAGGCAAGCTGGGACCTCCACCCATAACCCTGCCCGCCTGTCGTTACCCAGGAGGGGCTGTGGAAGGCACAGGACCATTCCCCCCTCACAGCCCTCACTGTAGCCGGGTGCCCTCCAGCTACCTCCACCAGCATCTTGAGGCGGGTGATCCTCTGAAATGGCAAGATAAGGAAGGAGGTGAGGGGCAGACGTTGGCATACGGGAGACTCCTCCAGGCGAGCCAGGATGCCAGGGAACTTGGGGTTCTCCAGGCTGGAAGATGGGGAGGGGCCTGGGGTCACAGATAGGCTCATAGATCCTATGAACCACCAAGACCCATGACCCCAGCCACCCTCTTGATTTTTCAGGTACCTCTCGGCATATCCTTCCTGCCCCTTGGGGTTGGGTCTAACCTGATCCTAGGTCAGAGAGCCCTGTTCAGGAACCACCCCCCTCCCGGGTCACCGGTCCTCCATACACCCTTCCGCCTAAGACTCCCTTTATCTTCCCCTCCCCCCCCTTCAGAGCCTCCAACCCTACAGCAGGCGCTGGTAGGTGCGCTCCTGGTAGGCCTGGTTGGTGACGTAGGGCAGGTACACTCGGCGGAAGGCTGGACAGTGGTGCAACACAATGTCGCACACGCTGAAACGCAGGACATCTGCCTCTAGCCGCTGCTCCAGGTCCTGCAGAAACCTGAGGGGTCCGGAGAGGGGTCAGGGTCAGGGCCAAGGAGAGACCCCAGACCTGGGAGCCGGGCCAATCACAGGCTTTGTCCCCCCCCCCCCCACCTGACCAGACCACTCCCTCACCTCTCGCTGGTGCTCTTGACCTCGGGCAGTTTGGAGAACAGCCATTGCTTGTCCTGCACCCCCAGACATTCGCTCAGCTCAGCAGATCCTAAGAAGTGGCCCACGGCCACCGACAGGCTGTGGATGTATGAGGCCTCGGACGTGATCAGCTCAAACTTGGCCTGAGTGAGGGCGGAGGCGGGGTTGAAAGGGCCCGACAAGCCCACCCCGGACACTGTGACCTCACTTACCATCCGCCCTCCCGACCCCGCCATTCCTTTACCCCTCCCCCTGCTGTCCAAGCCCTGGACACCATCTCCTCAGATACCCCACCTCCGATGACCTGGTACCTGACGGGTGAAGGGGACCACCTCTAGCCGCGCGCAATTGCTCAAACTCAACTGAAGACCTTGCCTGAGCCCCTAGCTCCACCCAACAGGCCTGCCCCTCCAGCGGGGAGCGCTTCATTTAGCCCCGCCCCCGCCCCCCGCCCCGCTCAGTCCCTCGCCCACCAGGCGTTTTCTCTCCAGAGGGCTCTGCCCCTCCGGGTCCTCGCTTTCGCGGCCCCACCTCGGCCGGCCCAGCCTGACTCCGCCCCTCCGCTGGCCCTGTTGGCCCCGCCCCTGGCCCCACCCCTCCGTCCGGCCGCCGCTCTCGACGGCTGCTGCCGCGCTCCCGGCCCCGCCAGCAGCCTGCCCCACCTGGTCAGGTCCGTGCACCCACCTTTCGCATGGACGGCCCCGCCTTCCCCGCTGGGTCCCACGCCCACCTCCAGCAGTGTGCAGTCCCGCTGGCCCGGTAACCCAGGGCCTGAGGCCCCGCTAAGTCGAGGGACCACCCCCCTACCGCGTCCTCCTGGCCCCGCCCCTTCTGTGGCCCCGCCCCCCGCGGGCCCAGGGCCACCTCCCCGGCTGGCGGCCCCGCCGGCCCGCCCCGCCGGCCCCCGGCGCCCACCTCCTGCAGTTTGCAGTCGCGCAGGCTCAGCGTGGCCAGGACGCCGCTGCCGCGCACGTCGGGGATGTCCTGCCACAGCGAGAAGGTGGAGCCTCGCGCTGAGCGCTGCGCCCGGAAGGAGCTGCTCGGGGAGAGGTTGGCGCGCGGCGGCCCGGGCCCCTCCTCCGCGCCCTCCGCCTCGTCCCCCGGGCCCTCCTCCTCGCGCTGCTGCCGCCGCAGTTCGCGGGCGCTGGCCACGTCGCTGTATTCCTGGTAGAGGACCGCTGGGCGGGGAGAGGGGCGGGGGAGGGCCGTGGGGCGCCCGCCTGCCCGGTCCGGCTCCTGCCCGGCGCCCCGAGAGCCCGCCTCACTAAACGAGCCTTTCGGACGGTTCGGGTAGCGGGACACCGTGAACTCGTTCACTCACTCACTCCTTCCAGAAACACTGCTTGCGCACTCAGTGCGTGCTAGCCACTGTGCTTGCTACGGAGATTCAGCTCTCTTGCCCTCTCGCAAGATCCCAACCTCTCAACTCTCCAAACCCGCAGCCCCCCAGCCCCTTCCTCCCACGTACTGTTAAGGAGAAACCGTGACTGGCGCCGCTCGCTGGCGCTCCTGGACCCCGGGGCCAGCTCTTCCGGCGTATCCAGCCTAGGAAAGGGACAGGGTCAGGGCCCTTCTTGGCCGGCACCCCTCCTCGGACCAAGCGCGGAGTGGGAGATGGTACCTGGGCTCGGGCCAGCCGCTATGGCCCCCGCTCGGGTCAACAGGGGTTGGCATCGCCAGACCGTCCACCCTCATCTCTACACTGCGCGACTCCCTTCCAGATGCTTTTCCTGGAGAGGGCGAGAGCTGAGGGTGGGTGCCTCCAAGAATGGCGCTGGGCACTGGGGTGCCACACTCCAGCTGTGGGTCGGGTGTGGGCCGTGCCCCATGCTGCCTCTGGCTCGCGACCTGCTCTTAGGGCCCAGGGAAGAAGCTGGTACCTTCCCGAGCTGCACCAGTGCCTGACCCTGGGGTCAGCCCCCTGGCTGCTGAATTCCGCCCCAGGCGCAGGGAAGAGTGCAGCCGGGTCATCAGCTCGGAGGCGGAGAAGCGCCTCCGCTCGGGCCCCTCCAGGCCTCCTCGGGAGGGTCCAGACAGCTCCAGTGGCCTAGGCTCCTCTGTGCTCAGGGCCTGCTCTGCCGCCTGGCCAGGCTCCAGGAAGACAGCATGGGCTTCAGGGCTGCCAGGGAGCTCTTCACGCTGGTACACCCGCATCTTGCGCCCTACGGGGAAGTGGGGCGAGAGCACAGTCTGCGCCGCTGGGCGCTCTCTCCACTCCCCGCTGCTGCTACCCTGTGGCCCTGAGCCTCTGAGGGAAAGGTCAGTGTTTTTGCCAGGATCTGGTCCCCCCGTCCCCTGAAAATGGGATCCACAAGAGGGGTAGCAGAGAGAGCACAGTGCTTGCCTGCAGTGGGCAAAGGGCCAAGGAGCCCAGGACAGCCACTCATTTGCAGTGCAACCTCCAACAAGTCACCAGTCCTCCCTGATTTCCCATTCTCTTCTCACTAGAATCTACCACTTGTCCTGCCTGTTTGGGGAACTCTGGGGCTTATGAAGCTTAAAAGAGCCACCCGACTTCTCCCCTGTCTGTCCCACTGGGCCACCACCCCTCACCCAGAGTGACTCACAGGCAGACTTCTTCTCTGAGCCATGACTGGCCCGGCGCTGTGGCTGTGGGTGCTGGGGACTCCAGGGTCCTTCCAGAGCTGGGGGCTGAGCACTAGGACAGTGTGGCCAGCTGCCAGCCCTGCTGGGCCGCATCGCCCCACCAGTGGAGATGTCGGTGTCTGGGACTTCCGGGGATGGCGGCCATGGCAGCCCTTGGAGAGGAGCAGGGGTCCCCAGGGACCAGCGGCTGCCAGGAGCCCGCAGCTCCTCTGGGGCCACAGGGAAGAGATCCAGACACACAGGGCTCGGGGGCTGCAGGGCGGGCAACTCTGCAAAGGACAGGCTCTCCTGCTGGCACACGGCTACTGGGTGGCGGGCAGAGCCACGTGGCCCAGCCAGGTGGGACTTGAGAGTGGCAGGTGGCCCACAGTCCATTCCTCCTTTGCTCTGCCACCCACCTGGGCCTGCACGGGAAAAGGTATGAGAGGCAGACACAGAACAGTAGGGCTGGCCAGCAAGCCACCTCCGTCTCGGAGGCCTGGACAAACCCTTGTGTACATGCGTGCGCATACTCACGCACCTAACTGCATAGTAACAGCTAATATTGGGCACTTACCGAGTGGCAAGTGCTGGGCAAGTGGCAAGTGCTTTATATATACTATTTCATTTAATCCTCACAACCCTGAGTTGATGTTATTTTTATCCCCATTTTATAGGTGAGGTAGGTGAGGCACAGACGTTGTTTGGCCTATGCGGGGAGCCAGGATTCAAACCCAGTCTGTCTCGCTTCTGAGTCTGCGCTTTTAACCACCTTGTGCATTTTCAACTCTCACTGACCTATGATCAGACACACATACATGCGTTGTCGCACAATCCATGTATGTTCCAGGCACATGCACACACGTTTTCTTCCAAGTACACACCTGGACATACACACTCTCATAGGTACACTCAGGCACTTCAAAGCCACAGGCTCACGCATTCACGCACTTTTCACACAACTACATATATTCACACAGACTCTCACACACACACACACACTGACCCATCAGATATTTATGTACCCACTCAAGCTTTCTCACACTCCTGTTCCATTCACACTCATACACCGAGATACAGACACAAATACACGGGCCCAGAAGTCCTTGCTTTGCTGTTACCCAACCTCCTCTACCATGCCCAGAGTTGCAGCCTTCTGCGCTGAGTGGTGCCCACACCCTGCCAAGCTGGCTGGGAGGGTCACAGACTGGCAGGCGGGCCACCACCCAGATCAGGCTAGGCCCTCCTGGGAGAAGGGCAGGGAGATGTCCTGGATCCCCCACTTGGGGCGAGAGAGGGGTTCTTCCCTACCCGGGGTTCCCAACCCCAGCGATCGAGCCAGGCTGACCGGGTCCTCTCTGGGCAGGGAGTCATCCCCAAGGAGTCTGCGGGAGCCTCGGGACAGGCCTGATGATAGAGGGATCCGAGCCCCCACAGCCCTTCCCCCTGGCCCTCCACCGGCTGCCCTCCTGCAGCCTCTCACCTCTCCAGCCGAGGGCCGCTGCTGATCTTGTTCTGCTCCTGCTCCGGCGGGAGAAGCCCTCTCTCTGCCCAGCTGGCTGGGGGAGATCCCACCCAGACAAAGAGTTTGATTCATCAAACCCTGTGGTGAGGCAAGCGGTAGGGAGGGAGGGAGCAGGCAGCGGGCTGGGCGGGGGCCTACCCTAGCCTGGCCTCACTGTGGGCAGGCGGGGCAGCAAGGACCCCCCCAGAGGCCCCCTCTGGCCAGAGGAGCAGTGCCCAGCCTGGCAGGACAAGGAGACCCAGGGGACAGAGACAGAGATAGAGACCCAGAGATACGGAGACCCTTTAGGCAGCATCTCGGAACGGGAGACCCCAAAACACTCAAACCCAGAAAACCACAGACGCCAAGACATTCAGGGACCCAGAGATGGAGACAGAGACAGAGACACTGAAAATTTCACAGACCAGATACTCAGAGACAGATGCAAAGCCCAGAAAAAGCCCGGGAGACAGAGGGACAAACGTTTTGTGGCCCACAGGGTTGCCAGTCTAGTGAGGGAGCTGAAAATGAAAACAGTTACAATCCGGGTTGGCAGGAGCCAAGCCAGAGGAACCATCAGCGCTGGGCTCAACTTGACCTGAGCATTCCAGGAAGGCTTCCTGGAGGAAGTAATGGCTAACTGTTCCGGCTGAAATAGCCAGGGACCCAATAAACATCGATAGGGAGAAAATCTTGACCTGAGAGAAACAGTGACAGCGTCAGTGACCAAGGGATGAGGGGGGGATGGAGGAGAGGACCCAGGGGGGGACCACTCCATGTGCAGAGCCACCCAGCTGCTGCCCTGCTCTCTTCAGTCCCTGCCTGGGATGGGGTGGGGCTGCTCCTAAGAGACAGTTACCCTCCCTGTCCGTGTGGGCAGCTTAGCTTGTACCTTAAACCTCTGTCCATCTGAGCACGTCTCTTTTTCCTCATCTGGTAAATAGGCTAGTCCTGCCAGCTTTAAAACACTAACACGAGAATTAATGATAGCACACGTAAAGCCCCTCGCACAGAGTGGGAGCTTTGTAGTTGATAGTCATTCTCCTGAATATTGGGATTAGTCTTTCTCTAGTCAGCAGGTGGCTTGGGTCGTCACACGGATGGGGAAACTGAGTCAGTGAGGATGAGGCCCACCCTTCTTTGTAGGAGCATGTGGAAGGAGACTTGGGACCACTGCCGGCCAGAGAGGTCTCTTTCTCTCCAGGAATCTGAAGTCCTCAACATAGAAGTCCTACTTGCTTCTGTGGGGACCCATGTGCAAGAATATACACGTGCTTCTGCTCCCTTGTATTCTGGGAGATCCTCTCCACTTGGATTCAGGGAGCCCCTGGAAGGCAGGGAGCACACCCCCCCATACCCTCCTGAGTTACAGGGATAAGTGAGCAAAAACATGGAAGCCTTGGGGCAGGAGCACCCCCTATTAAAGGCTTAGAGGAGAAGCCTGGGCGGATGCCAGGGGAAGGTGGTAGGTTTTCTGTAGAGAGGAGGCTGGAGGCAGGTCCCTAGAGGGAAAGTCAGGGGTGAGTCAACCTCCACCTCTGTCCAGACCAAAAGGCAATGGGAATGACCCATCTAGCTTGGATACCAGCCCTGTGGCCTTCCCAAGATGTGGCCCGCTCAACCTCAGTGCTCGGGACCAAGGAGCGGTTGAGCTGTGTTCATACTGTGTGCAGCTCATCTCTGCTAGAAAAAAAAAAATAAAGGAAAAAAACCTCAGGAAGAGAACTGGCCCCAAGTAGCAGGCTCATTCCCTGCTCCAGACAGGATCACCGGATACTCTAGCGGCAGTGGTCATTCTGGAACCCATAGGGGAAAACCCCTGCCCAGGTTCAAGCCCAGTGTTGACACTACCAACTGTGTGGCCCTAGGCGAGTCATAGCCTGTTCCTGGGCCCCAGTGTCCCCACCTGTAAAGTAGCATGGAAGGTCCCTCCTGGCTGCCCCCTCTAGGAAACTCGTGTCATCATGAATATCTCTGCGGGCAGAAGGACAGGCAGGGACCAAGGAGGGCCCCATCCAGTGGACACTGCTAATCACATGGACAGTGGGCCCACTTGGCAAGGCTGGCAGAGAGGGTCTCTGGATACTACTATGGTTCAGGGAGAGCACCTCTGGCTTCCTGTGCCCAGGATTTCCCTGCCTCCCTCCCTGGTCCCCCTTGCCCCGATGCCCAGAGGAGTAGGGCCCTGCCATGGCCCCTGTGCCCCTTCAGGGACAAAGCCGAGTGGAAGGTCATGGCTGGAAAGGGGATCCAGGCCAAACAGGCTATGGAGCCCCAGGAGGCTGGGAGCCAGGATCAGAGGCCAGGCAGGCAGCACAAAGGACTCGCTCTGGGAAGACTGGCGGGAGGAGGATGGGACGGCAGGCAGCAGGGTGGGGCCCTACCTCAGCCAGGGAGCTCTGTCCAGCCTCCGACACGGTCCAGGGCTCCAGACCACCTGGGGGCTCTGGGGTTGCAGCTGGGTCCTCGGGGGGCTATGTCAGCATGGCCCCTGAGCCGGGCAGTGCACGATCCTGGGTATTGTGTGGGGCGGGGAAGGGGGAGGCGAAGGCGGAGGGAACCTCGCAGGCGGGCAGGCGGCTGTCTCAACGTGCCTGCTCCCCGCCCCCCTTCCCCAGAACCGGTTTGGCCAGTCTGGGGTACAAGAGGGGGGCTGGAACAATGGGAGTCCTATGCCCGGGAGAGGCTCTGAAGGACCCCAGACCGATGTCCTAAAGATGGGGGAAGCACTGCTTTTCTGCCCAAGAAACAAGTCACCCCTCTTCTGAAGCTTCCCAAATGTAAGACATGCTGGGGGAGGAGAGGCTTCACAGAGAACCTCCCAAGCCTTGGACTTCTCAGGTACCCTGAGAACTCTGCAGTTTGCTGACCCTCCCGGAGCTGGCTACAGCACCTATAAAATAGGAACACTCGTTTCTATGGTGGAGAGATGGAAATCATGAAAGTTGGTGATGTGCGTCCAGGACCATCCTGGCCAACCCTCCCAGCATCACTGCTCCCATGAATTACCCATCCTCTCCTGCTGCCTGGAATGACCCACCTTGCCATTTCCAATGGCCTCCTCCACCAGGAAGCCTTCCCAGACTCTAGCCCACACCGAATAAGCCCTCAATAAACCAATAGCCCCAGTAGAACCAGCCTCCAGTAAGGAGGCTGCAGCAAGCATGCAATCTTCCCAAGCCCATGAAAGGGAAAGCTGTTCTATTCCCAATACTACCTGCCATTTATTTAAGCACTCAGCAATTGCCAGACACTCAGTGTTAATATCAATATGTACACAAATACCAATACTCATGTTGCTCATAACTTATTGTACACTATGTGCCAGGCACTGTTCTGAGCACTTCACATCTGTTTACAAGTTTCCCCCACTACCCAAAAGTAGAGTGTTCCTACGAAAGCTTTCCTAAGCCAAAATGGCATAAAACAAAGAAGCAATTACCATTAATGTATATGGAAAAATGTTTTTAGCATTTCCATACCCCAAAAATAACCTCTCTTAGGCTTTTCCGATACTTGAGGACACATCTTGCTAACAGATGCACAAAATAAATCGAGATAAAACACAGATGCCCCAGGACATAGCTCAAAGCTCTGTTGGCTTGATCCTGAGATGCTGAGTGCCGGGCCAGGGAAAAGCTTGGTGTGGCAGGCTCTCTGCTCAGGGTGTGTGCTGCCTCTATAAAGGATTGCTGCAAAACAAATGTTGAACGCTATTTTCCCTTTTTCACCTTTTTCCGTAAAAGCAAAAATTTTCTTTGGATTTCTTCCGGTTAGTGAAAACAGGTACTAATAAATAGAAGTCTTCGGTAAAAGCCAAGTGGTGTAATGCAAACTTCTGAAAAGCAAGGGATACTGTATTCATTCAATCTCCACCACAACCCTGTTACTGCTCCCACTTATCAGATGAGGACATGAGGCTTGTACGTGTTAAATCGGGGGAGGGGGTTATCCCATTCAATCTCTCATCAGCTCTATGAAGTCTCTATTTTATAGATATGAAACTGAGGTCCGAGGGATTAAATCACTTGCCCAAGATCATACAGCTGATAGGTGTCAGAACTAATATTCAAACCCAGGTCTTTGACTCAACCACCAACCTCTGTCCTTAGCCACTGCCCAGGACTGCGTCACCAGGCTTTTGGGAGAATCTGGTGAAAAGTGTGTAAACGTCCGTTGGGAGGTGTCTCAGCTCTCCTGACTAAACCGTTTTACTATTATTCATACACTGCCGGCCTCCATGAGCATATGGGGCAGGTATCCAGGGCCCAGATCCCAATGTACTCTCCCCCACCAACTGGTGACCACTCAGTACTGAGTGATTAGGGTCCCTCCACTCCCTTGGCCTCCAGAGCATCCAGACAATGAAGAGACACTGCACAGTGTGTGTGGAAACCAGGTGTCCATGGACAGGTGGCACACTGGGGGGCAGAGAGAGGTTTATTGCCAGCACTGCACACAGAGCAGGAGACGGGGACAGGGAGAGGGAGGCAATGCAGGACTAGCGGTCTTCAGAGAGCTTTAATGCTCTAATCCTCTCACCCCAGTTCCGAGGCCGACCTTGGGGTCGCTGGCCAAGGTACTGCCCAGACCCCCGGCCAGAGGCAGAGGACCCCAAATGGAAGGAAGCATCTGGGGAACCTAGGGTTCTTGAAGGGCAGTCCCGCCTCACTCGCGCCTGGTCCTGGGCTCCGGGGACAGCGCCCCTGCTGCAGAGGACAGGAAGCATGGCTTGGTCAGGCTGAATAGGCTGGCCCTGGAGAGCAGAGGGGACTCCGGTGGGGATAATGTCATAGAGGGGGCGGGGGAGTGGGCGGAGTTTGGTGAAGGGCGGGGCCAGGCAGAAAGGAGACGGAAGGGGGCCAATTCTCCCTCTGGGAGAGGCCAAACTAGAGGGCGGGGCAAGAGAGGGCTGAGCTAAGGCGTGGGGGCGGGCCGGGGGCGTGGTCTGGGAGGGGCCAGGGTCCTTTAGCAGTGCTGACCTAAAGCAGCGCCTCCCCGGAGTCCGCAGGCTTCTGCAGGGCCAGATAGCGCTCGCGCTTTATTTTGGTAACCAGGGCTGCTGGAACGTCGGGCACGAGCCAGGCGAGGAGGCGCACGGAGACCACCACGTGCTGGGGCCAAGGGGGAGCCAAAGAGAGAATGAGTCCCTTAGCTACCTTAACTTATCGAGCGCTTACTAAGTGCAAGGCACCATTCTGAGGTTTCCCGGGTATTAATTCACTTAATCCTCACAACAACACTAGGAGGTGAGTACAGTCACTATTCCCGTTTTACAGGTGAAGAGACTAAAGCATAAAGCGGTTGTCATTTGCCCAAAGACACGGGTATAATTCGAAACCCGTAACACTAGGGACCCTGGTAGAGACAGAGCTGGAGAAAGGATCCTAAGCAAAGCCGGAGGGAGCATGCCTCCTCTCCTTCCTCCAGGTCTGTTGCCCAAAGATAGTAGTCGTAGTCGTAGTGCTATTAATTTATTGAGCACCTACAATGTGCTGGACACTGTGCAAGTGCTTGGCACCGAATCTTCATAACGACCCTATGAAGTAGATCCTATTCTATAGCATACCCCCCGTTTACAGCTGGTCGGCGGCAGCGCCTGAACTTGAACCCAAGTCTGTCCCCCACACACAAATAGCTGACCCTACCTCGAAGGCGACGATGAAGCCCAGACGCACGGCCAGCAGCTTCCAGTAGAAGAGGGTGAGGTTCCCCTGTGGGTCGAGAAAGGCCACGTACCTGAGCTGAGGAGGGCGCGGGGTCCGGCGAGTCTCTCCCGCCCCTCCAGGCCCTGGTGCCTGGCCCCGCCCCTTCAGCGGTTCCCCCACCCCCACCCCCACCCCAGCTCCGCCCAGCTGTCCGCCGCGCAGACTCAGCTTCCTATCCACCTAATTGGGCTCCGCCCCACCCTCCCACGGGCTCACTGCTCCGCCTCCAGATTCAGCACCCCGCCCCCTCCAGCCAGGCCCCGCGCGTCCCCAGGCTCAGCGCTCCACCCCTCCCAGACAGGCCCAGACCGCCTCCTTGAGGCTCCCATTTGCAGGGCGTGAGGTCCTCCTGGGCAAGGTAGGCTGGAGGTGTGGGCGCAGTTATGCAGTTGACAAAGCTGCACAGTAGGCTGTGTGTTCCTACTGGTACAGGAGACAGGAGACGCATTAGGTCCGAGGTGAAGGCGAGGAGGAAAGCCTGCAGGGTCAGACGGACTCCAAGGCCCAATCTCCCAACTACCCCGACCTGGGTCCAAACCCATTCCCGTGGGCAGGATGAGCCTGCGCCCAGAATCCTAGAACTCTACCCCTTATTTCCCTACCTCTAACCCTGGAATTCAGCCTCCATTTCCCTATTCCTAAGCCACCTTTCCGGGTCTCTGATCTCTATTTCCCCCTCTGACCCTGTATGCCCCTCCTTTGCCTCATGCTCACATTCACAATGACCAGAAGGTGGGCCATGGCCTCAAGCAGAGGCAGCCAGATTCCAATGCCCTGTGCCCGCTCAGCCACTGGCCTCCAAAACTCGTACAGGAACTTGTGGGTCCAGTCGGATCTCTACCCAGTTGTTGCTGAGCAAAGCAAGCAAGGGTGCCAGAGCAAGGGCCCAAAGCCCCCTCACCATGACGAGGATGGCTGCAGAGCTGGTGTGTAGGTGAGGAAGGCAATGTGGGAAGTAGGACTCCTTCAAGCCTGTCACTGGGTTCTGGGCCATCTGTGTGCCCAGAGTGGCCAATGCTGGACATGCACACTCCTGTTCAAAGAGGCAACAGATGTGCCTCCTGGGGCCCAAGAGACTGGGTGTCACAACCCTGGGGTTGGGGGAGCCCCCCATCTTTTTCTGCCTGTGCAGGGAGCTCTGGAAATACAGGAATGAGGTCCACATCATTTTTGTTTCTGCAGGGCCTTTCCCCCCAAGGTCCTGGCTAAAAGCCTGTGGATGGATGGATGCATGCATGCATAGATAGGAAGGTAAACAGAAATGTAAACAACAAATGGATGCACTTCTGGGAGAGGGCTGGATAGGCTGATGGATGGGTGGGCAGTAGATGGACAGATGGGTGGGTAAACTGGACAGGCAGACAATTGGCAAATCTCGATAAGTGGGTGCACAAGTGGGTGAGTAAAAGGGCAGATGGGTGGATAGATGGATGGATGGCTAGGTGGATGGACGACAGACATTAGGATGGATGAATAGATAATGGATAATGGGTAATGTACTAGTTCACTCAATAACTGTTAACTGACTGGGGCACCTAGGTGGCTCAGATGGTTGAGCGTCCAACTCTTGGTTTTGGCTCAGGTCATGATATTGGGGTCATGAGATCAAGCCCCACGTCAGGCTCTACACTCAGCGGAGAGTCTGCTTGAGATTCTCTCTCTTTGTCTGCCCCTCTCCCTCTCTAAAATAAATCTTTTAAAAAATAACTGTTAACTGCGGGCGCCTGGGTGGCTCAGTTGGGTTAAGCAACTGCCTTCAGCTCAGGTCATGATCCTGGAGTCCCTGGATCGAATCCCGCATTGGGCTCCCTGCTCGGCAGGGAGTCTGCTTCTCCCTCTGACCCTCCTCCCTCTCATGCTCTCTGTCTCTCATTCTCTCTCTCTCAAATAAATAAATAAAATCTTAAAAAAAAATAACTGTTAACTGATTGCATACTATTCTGCAGTAGATACTGGATATGATGGGGTGAACAACCTGGACAAAGCCCAGTTCCTGATGGAATCACAATCTAGTTGGGGAGACAGACGTCAAATGAATAAGCACAAATATGTTATTGTGAAAAAGTCTGATGAAGGAAATGATGCTAAGTAAGGAGAGAGTGGAGGATCAGTCTGTGCAAAGGCAGGGCCATTCTTTAGGGCACATGAGTTATACACCGCACTATTCTAGAGGGCACCATTCGCATTGACTTTGCTACCTCAATGTTCCCTTTCTGCTTTCTCGGTCCTCCCACATCTATTTAACCTCGTGCATCCTATATGGCATAATACAACCCCCTGGAAGGCTTTAAGGAGGGCAATGCATGATGTGATTTGTGTTTTCAAAAGATCACCCTGGCAGCTGAAAATGAATTAAGTAGGGCAAATGTGGGAGTAGGGAGACCTTGGGAAGGCTACAGCAGTGGTCCAGGTGAAGCAATATGGCTTGGACTGGGGGTGGGGGTGGGGGAGGAGCAGTGGTGGAGATGGAAACAAGCAAACAGATTCAGGATCAATGATTAGGTGTTTGGATAGGCTGGTGGGTGGCTGGATGGATGGGTGAATAGAATGCTTCTCCCGTTCCTCCCTGTTCCAAAATTTCTCTTTGAGATCCTAAATGTGCCCAGTGTTTAATCTCACCAAACTTTGTATCATTCTGATATCAGGGGAGGGTGGAAAAGTAATCCAGGAGGTGTGGGGAGGAGCCAGATTTGGATCCTGGAATGATGGACTCCAGTCTGGGCTCCTCCCAGCATGCCTTGTGGTCTCTGAGAACTCTGGGAAATGGAGTTCTGGACCTGGCGGGCTGAGCTGGGCATCACCTCCTCTTCCTGGAAGCCACGGAGGTCCTAGGGGTGAGCCAAGGGGATGCTCCTGCACTTCCAGTGCTCCAGGAAGGCCGTGGCTCAGAAGGATATGAAAATGCTGAAGAACACAGTTGCCAGATAGTCAGAGAAGTAGCCCTACCGCAAGGGAGGGAGAGAGGACATACTGCAGGGCCAGCACTGCTTTCCCTGCAGCCAGGCCCAGGTGTCTCAAACACCTACCCATGCCCTTGCTCTTGTCCCTGGCTCACCTTGCCATGGGGCAGATCTTGGAAATATTCCACATGGCACAGGTGTTGCAGAGTGGGCACATGAGGAAGGCACCCTCACAGCCCAGATCTCTTCCCTGGGAGCAAAAGATGTCCATCGTGGGAGGGGCTGTTCCTAAGCAGCAGCCGATCTGGCCCACCCAGCCCATCTCTCTGCGCCCAGCTCCAGCCACTCATGGTGTGTTGGTGCCCGTGGCAATAAAGCCAGAGATAAAGACCAGGGTGCCCACAAGGGCGGCAGACAGGCTAGCAGCCAGGCTGTGCAAAAGCCTCGTGACAAAGTCCGCGAGCCTCCAACTCTGCACTTGACCCCAGCTACCGGTCCCCACCCCCGGTGCCCAACTCACCTAGCCAAAGTAGATGGCCACCGTCTCCCCAAAGCACTCTCATACAAGGTACAGGGGTTGGTGCTTGTGCTAGCATTTCCAGCAGGCCCAGTATGAGCACAGCAGTTGGCGAGGGTTGGGGTCTGCACCAGGCACCTGATACCTGGGCAGTTCACAGGGGCCCTAGGCACATGAAAGGAGGGAGGGCTGTATTCCCTCCTGATGCCACAGCGGTGGAAGAGAGCTGAGCTTGTGTCTTCTCCACTTCATGCAGTGGGAAGGCTGCAGGGTAGACTCCCTCGGCCAGCAGACAGGCAATGGCCATATCTGTGCGTTTCTGCTCCCTATAGACCGCCACCTGCCAAGAGAGAATCCTGACATCAGCTCCCTCCCCTTAAGGTCCCAGCTCCACCCTCCTCAGGAAGTTGTCTGCTTGTGTGTCTCCCCTGTCTCTGCGTGTTGGAGAAGTACGAGTCATGGGACTCACTGCCTAGCAATCGGCGAGCAGAGCAGGGGTCAGAAGCCCTCTGCCCAGTGCGAGACCTAACACAATGGGATTGCAGGGTCTAGTCTCTAGGCTGGTGACAGAGGGTGGAGACGTGCCAGTTGCTAAGCCCGAGAGCCCATCTACCCACAAAGCTCAGCCTGGGCTGGTGTGTTCCAGCCAGAGGAGCATCTGAGGGGGATTGAAGAGGTGGGACTCAGGCACCGGGAGCCGCTAGGACACAGACTGGCTAAGACCTAAAGTGAGCGAGGCGACAGTTGCCTCCCTGCGGAACCTAGGAGCAAAGCGCCCCGCCCCTCCGCGGAAGGCTCCGCCCCGCCTCACGGGGCTCGCGGGGAGCTGCGGGCTGGGAGCGCGTGGAAGTCCAGCGGCTGCGGGGCCACGTGTTGCTGCAGAGAGTTGCACAGGCGCAGGCGCCGCAGCGGCTCCCCCGAGCGGTCCGAGGCCAGGTTGGAGGGCCACCCGCACCAGGCGACACTCCGCACCCGGGCCGACCCCTCCCGGGCCCACGACTCGGTCTCAGTTCCTCCGCGTGGAGCCAGAGCAGCGCCCAGGGCGCGCTCAGCTTGGCGAAGGGCACGGTCCGGGCGCGGCGCTGGGAGGGACCGCGCCCCTGGGGGGCCAGGGTCTCCCGGTGGGCCAGACCCCGGAGCCCCTCCCCTTGCGACCCCTGGGGGTGACAGATCCCGTTCTGCGCGAGGGTCCTTTCGGCCTTCAAAAGCGCTTTGACGCGCGTTTTCTCATTTGAGATTCCAACGAGGAGGGAACTAGCACCCCCATTTTATAAACGTGGATAGACGCTGAGTGGGCCGGCGTCCTAGAGCAGTGGCTGCTCTTCCCCAAGTATTGGGCGCCTGCAGTGTGCCAGGCCCTGGGCTGAGCGCCGTACACACTCCGCCCACTTAAGCATCACAGCCCCTCTGGGGGGCTGACACGACGGTAAAGCCCATTTTTACAGATGAGGTGGTGCAGTCGCTTGCGCAGGTCACAGAGCTTGTTAGGGGAGCCCGCGCAGCCCGTCTACACCGCGCGCGGGTTCCGCTGGAACTCACACTGCCAGCGCCGCCGCGGGGGGCGGGGGGGGGCACAGCGGCTCATCCGGCAAGAGCACGAAGCCTGCCCACCGCGGGGGCGGAGGGGGGGGGACAGTTAGGACCGGTCTGCCTCACTTCCCTCCTGGGCGGGAGGCAGGGGATTGGGTTTATCAGTCCCAGTGAAGCCAGAAAGAAAGGAAACGGTGAGCTGCAGCAGAGGGATTGGGTTTAGTTCTGAGGAGGAACTGCCCACCGCCCGTTGCAAGCAATGGACCAGAGATGCCACGGGATTGCTCGCGGAGGGAGAGGGGATTCAGGAGAGGGACTGTCGGTTGGCTACTCTGGCCTCGGGTGACGTGGGGCAAGAGTCCCGTCTGGCCCAAGTCTCACCGAGTGCGGTTTTCCCGCCGCGGAAAAGGTTGCCCCTGGATTCTGAGGCACAAATGCTGACGCGGGACGCGCAGAGATGGTCGTCGTCCAGGTCCTTGTCCTCGGTGCCATCGCGGTCCTGGGCTCAGCAGACGGGAGTGAGGGGGCGCGGAGCCCGGCGCAGGCGCAGGGCAGGTGCCGGGAGTTTCCCGGTTCTCGGTCGCCCCCAGCTGGGCTGCGTGCAGCAGCCCGTGTGCCGACCCGACGACCCGACCCGGACCGTCTCCCTCCTCTCCAGCCGCGCTCAGCCCAAGAGCGGCCACCACTACCGTAAGAACAACGGGGAAGATAATAGCCAACGTTTATTGTGCCCCTGCCTTGGTGCCTGGTGCTGCGCTGAACATTTTACACACATTTACTTACAACTCCAAGAAGCGGGGGCTGTTATCTTCATTTTACAGACGAACACACAGGAATTAAAGTGAATGGTCGGAGGTCCTAGTTCTCCTTCACCTTCCTTCTGGACGCCCTCCCCACCCCCAGCCTCAGTCATCTTTGCTCCCAGGATCCACCCCTACTTTCTAGAATAGAGTTGAACACCAGCTTCCCCCACCCCCACTGCCCCAGCCTCTGGGTCTGAGGTCACAGGGAGGGGACAACCTCCACCCCCCCACCCACCCACCCTTCACTCCCCACCCGCAGCTTGGCCCCCTCGGAATTTGGCTCCACACAGCTCCAACTTGTCCTGGGCCCCTGAGCCTCCTTCCTCCGTCTGGGCACTTCACTCCCCCCCAAGCCTGTGCCTGGCACATGGGGATTACAGCTGGCACCAGGCTGCCCCGGTAGTAAGACGATCCACCGCAAGACAGGAAAAGCCCACCCCCACCCTGGACTTGGCCTGGGCCCAGTAGCCTTTGCAGGTGGGTTCCTGGATCCCCTTCCTTATCCTGGGGCCAGGTTCCTTGCCAGGGGTCCTCCCAGTTGCCCAGGTGCCCAGCCAGATTTGGCTGGCAGAGGGAAGAACTTGTCACTGACCAGCTCAGTGTGGCCTGGGAAGGGAGCGGGGAGGAGAAAAAGGGAAGGAAAGGGAGGAAGGAGGTGCCAGGAGGTGCCAGTATTCCCTTCCTATGGGCAGCCCCAGGCTTCACAGCTGGAAAAGCTGGGAGGACCAAGAGAGGAGGGCCTGTGAGGAGCTGGACCCCAAGACAGCATTAGGGGATGGGGGGAGGGGTTCAAGGGAGGGGAGTGCCTAGGGCTGAGAGCATCGGAGCTGCTTCGTGGCTCTGCAACCTTGGGCAAATGCCTGTCCCTCTCTGGACCTCAGCTTCTCTAAGTCTGTTCAGGCTGCTATAACAAAATACCACAGACTGGGTGGTTTATAAACAACAGAAATTTGTTTCTCACAGCTCTGAAGGCAGGAAATCCAAGATCAAGGCACCAGCAGGGTCCTTGGGGACCCTCTTCCCTGGTTTGGAGACTGCACTTTCTGTGTCTTCACTGGGTAGAAGGGGCTACAGAGCTCTGTGGGGTCTCTTTCATAAGAGCACTGATCCCATGCATGAGGCTCTGCCCTCAAGAGCTAATCACCTCCCAAAGGCTCCTAATATCATCGCATTAGGGATTTGGATTTCAAATTATAAATTTGGGAGGGACACAGTCAGTCCATGGCACTCCCCATCTGTAGGGAAGGGGGTTAGGACTCCTTGAGAGCCTGTTTGGGGTAAGGAAGGGGGCGGGCTGCTAAGTCCAGACTGGGAACATCAGCAGCAGGGCTGGACCACAGCACAGCCCACCCCCACCCTCACCTCAGGAGATGGTCCCTCCTCCTACAGGCTTCCCTCCAGAGCCCCAAAGTTCAGTGGCTCCAGGGCCCTGAGCAGCAAGCATGGCTACCCTTTTCCCAAAGGTCCAAGTCAAGGCCCACCCCTGAACCAGTCTGGAGCATAGTCACTACCCCTTCCTTCCACAGAGCCTCGGGACCCATGGAGGGGTGGGGTGAGTAGAGAGGTATTTGCCTTTGAGCTATTGTGATCTAATGGTGGAATTTGGGGCACCAAAGCAGGGGGAAGGCAACTTCTTCATGGCCTTGCAACAACTTCACTGAAGCGGCCTCTGTCTCCAAGCCCTGAGAGGGGAGCTTTATCTGGAGCCCAGACCCTCTCCCTGGACAACACACACAGGACCTGCTGCATAATCTGTGGTGTCCCACGTGGCAGGCCCACAAAGCTGGCCTGAATCCACTCATATGTGTCCACACATGCTTCTGGTTCTCCATGTGACCCTGCCCAGAACACACACTGTGGGCCCAGCCACCGGCTATTACAATAATGGTTCGCGGTTCCTTCCTCCCTCGGGCTCCCAGTTCTGCACTACCGTGGAGTAGTAGGCTGAAGTGGCACAGGGGCAGGGCTCGCAGGGGCTGAGAAAGTGGGGCTGGGATGGCAGGCGGCTGGGCTTCCAAGTCCCAGGCCCACTACCCTCCCGATCTTGTCCTTACACAGGAAAACAGCAAAGGGAATTGTTCACCTCTTGGTTTGGGGTGAAGGAGGGTGACAGGGTGATTCTCTGATGGGAACGGGGCTAACCAGGAGAAAACCGGCCTGCTGGTGCAGAGCTGGTGCCCAAGAAGGATGCAGAAGCTTCCTTTCTGGGGGAGCTTCCAGCCCAGAGATAACTGGCTGGACAGGGGGTCGCTGGTGCTCACAACACAGGTATGGGTAGCTGGGGGGAGGGGTCACATTCAGGCCCAGAGGCTACCTGGGGTCCCACTCCCAAGCTTTGCTATTTCCTGCTGGGGTAAGGTCTGCTGGAGCTAAAAACAGAGAACGGCCTGAACCCACTGCCCAGGAGCAGAGGAAGCCGACAGTGGGAAGGTCTCCAGCCCAGGAGTGGAAGCTAACCTACCAGCTGTGCCACTGTGAGGCATGGGGTCCTGCCCAGGGACATTCCTTCTCTGCGGCATGGGATAGGCTCAGGTCTCAGCTCTGAACCAGAGTTGGGGGTAAGAAGATGCTAAAGTCAGTCCTTTAGGCCCTGGAAGGGGTGACGAACCTATGGGTAGTGCCCAGGGAGGCAGACATGGTAGACGCCGTGCAGGCAATCAGGGTGCCCCGGGGTGTGAGCCAGAGTGGGGAGGTACGAACCTCCTGTGTGTGCCAGCAGGCGTATGTAGATGTGTGGAGGAAAGTGTTTTAGAACAAGTGCTAGAATGTGATCATGCATGCTGAGTATGGGGTGCACAGAGCTGCCGGCGCTGCCTTCTCAAGAGGGGCCTCAAGGGTCAGGTGGCTCCTGGGGTCACACACCTGGGCCCCCAGGCCCCTCCAGCTGGCTCAGACTCAGGCCAGGCCTCAGCCCACCATTGGGGGTGTCAGAACGCATAAAGGCCCTCTTCATCAGCACCCCCCGCCCGCAGACTTTAGCCTGTCTGGTAGATGGGGCAGATGGGAGACACAAGAATGGACAAGTTCACTCTTGCGGGCTTTCCACGGGTAGAGCTGCCCAACAGGGCAACTCACTCCCTGACCCCACCTGGTCCAGTCCCTGGCCCTGTGTAGTGAGCTTTCTGATTCCCCAAGTTGGCGGGGCCCCTGTCCTAAGCTCAGCCTGACACCTTCACGATGGAGAAAGGTACTGCAGAGAGGGGGCTCGCCTCCTCAACACGATGGTGGACTACATTTCCCAGCATGCCCTGCAGCTCCATGTAACCATGTGACCACGTGTTGGCCAATGGAAGGTGGGCAGAGGCCAGGTCCTCGGAAACCTCCTAGGTAACCTTCCACTTGCACTCATTCCCAGTCCGCTGACTGGAGGTTGATGCCCCAGGGCAAACTGGGAAGCCATGTGTTAAAGACCTCAGAGTCAGGGTCTCTGCATGAGTTCATTCCCCAGAGCCCCCAGGCCCACCTTTCACTTACACCTGAGGTGAGACAGAGCAAGGAAAAAACTTCCATGGAGTTAAGCCACCGAGATTTCAGGGTTTATCTGGTACAGCAGATGGTGTTACCTCGACTAATACAGGCTCTTGATTGAAGTCACTTGAGGTCTAGGGCCCAGCTGGGACAGCCCCTCTTCCCACTCACCCTCTCTGGGAGGACAGCAGGCAGTTGGGGGAGAAGCTTGAGCCCTGGGGCCCTGCCCCTACAGTTCCTCAGCTTCCAGAGCCTAGACTACCCAGGTCAGAAGGAGAAGGCCAGGGGGCACCCAGATGCCCTCAGACCACTGACCCCAAGAGCCTTGCGTCCCCATCTCACTGCCATGAATTCTGCCAGGAAGGCGCTGCTGGGGCAGGAGGCTTCTCAGGACACCATCCTCCTGGCAGCCCCTCTGGCCAGTCCTCAGGATGAGATCCATATTCCTGCCTCAGCCTTAGGACCTGGGTGTTGCCCTCTGCCTTGGGTCACCTGAGGGTTGGGACTAGTGATCAGCTGGGGGTGTTCTCAGAGGTGTTGGGGAGCAGGCCAGCTGCCACCTGGTCCTGGTGCCACAGCTGTTCTGCCAGGCCATTGAGCACGTGGGCAATGTCAGCCAGCCCAGCCCGCCCATCCAGTGTGCGTCCATCTGCCAGCCGCCGGCCTGGCACACTCTTCACCCGCAGGAGGGGTAGTTTCCAGGCCTGCCGGAAGGCTGTGAGGTCCCGCTCAGGCACATCTGTTTGCATGTACTGGTCAAATCTGGAGGAGGGTCAAGGAGCCTGGCCGGATGCCTCAGCTTACCGCCTCATCACACCTAGCCTTAGGCCTCCTCGCTGGGCTGGTGGGGGGGGGAGGGCCCCTGCTGCCTTTAAGATAAAGTCCATGGGACTAGACCCCACAGCTGGGCAGAGGCAGGGTACCTGATCCCCTTGCTTCATGCCTTGCCAAATGTGGCCTCTGACTGCCCCAGGGGCCACCCAAAGGATACTTGGAGCCAATGACCATCCTGACAACACCAGGGGCCTCGCCTGCTACTCGGGCCAGCTGTCCAGGGAGGTCTTCAAAGGAGGCACGGTCAGTGAAGGAGAAGAGGAAGAGGAAAGCATCTGTTTTCTCCTTGCAAGCCTGGGGATGGAGAGGCTGATGTGAGACTTGTAACCATGGGCCCTGAGAAGTCTTAGCTCACTCCCTTCCTCCACAGGCCCAGTCCCCACTGCCAGCTCAGAGCTCTCCCACCTGGGGCAGCACCCTCAGCCCATACCCAAATCTGGCTCCTGCAGACCAGGCAGGCTGGGCTCAGACACTCAGACTCAGAAACCCATCTCAGACAACCAGCCCCTCCCGGACCTTCCCAGGCCCACCTGCCTGCTCACCGGCAGCATGTGATCGAACTTTTTGAGTGCAGACTCCCCACAGTCCCAGAACTCAAAGCGGAACATGACAACACGGTCGCTGGCCTGCAGCTTGGCTGGCCAAAATACCACGGTGGTCTGGATGCCTGGGGAGGGTCAGTCATTCAGCATGGGGGAGGCAGAGTGGAGAGGGTTAAGGGGACCAGGAAGGAATAGGAAGAAGACACGTCCTTGGTGGGTCACCAGCCTGACAGGGAAGGCATATTCGCTGACCTGGGAGAATTCTCAGTCTGATGGGAGAAACTGACCTGCCCTAGATGAGCCTCCAGTCTGCTGGGGAAAGGAAGCCCTAACCCTAGCCATGACAAAGCAGTTTCATTTGTACGTATAGGGGGACCCAAAGATACTGGATACTGGACACTGCTGCAATCTGCTGGCCAATCAGCATCCAGCGGAAGGAAACAAGAAAGGAAGAGTAGTACTCCCTGAGCACCTTTCTTGTGCCAGCTCCGTACTAGTTCTAGTACTTTGGGGTTGGTACTATTATCTGTGCTGAATGGAGGAGCCAGATGTAGGCTCAGAGAAGTGAAGTGACTTTCCAAGGTTGCACAGTAAATGGTGGGACAAGGGCCAGTGTCTCCTCCACCACAGGGAAGGCCTCCCCAGCTGGACTCACCAGTGGTCTCATGGTGTACCACGGGTACCTCTAGGCCAGCCAGCTTGGCCACCAGGGCTGTCTTGCCCACGCCACTCTTGCCAGACACGAAGATCTTGTAGCTGGCTGTGTCAATGGCCACGGGTGGGGGCAGCACTGGTCGCTCCAACAGCCCTGGGACAAGAAGGGAGCCAGGTGGGGTCAAGAGGTCAACCTGCACTTGCCCCATCAGACCCATCGACTCTAAGAGCTTTTCAGTGCCAGCCAGCCATGGTTCTCTATGCTCATTACGGAGGCCTGGGACACAAGCAGGGTCCCTGGGTGAGCTCTGCTAAGAACACCTGTGCTCTGGGGCGCCTGGGTGGCTCAGTTGGTTAAGTGACTGCCTTCGGCTCAGGTCATGATCCTGGAGTCCCAGGATCGAGTCCTGCATCGGGCTCCCTGCTCGGCAGGGAGTCTGCTTCTCCCTCTGACCCTCCTCCCTCTCATGCTCTCTGTCTCTCATTCTCTCTCTCTCAAATAAATAAATAAAATCTTTAAAAAAAAAAAACAAAAAACACCTGGGCTCTGCACCAAAGCCTACTCCAAATAACACCGAATTACTTTTATTTAAAGTTTGGTGCATGAGATTATTTTTACTGATACTTTATCACATGTTCTAGATTTCCCACATGTAAAGGCAAAGTTTTTCATAAGTCTTTCCTCAATGGAGAAATATCAGCAAAAATATTCTCAATTACTATAAATAAACTCAGAAGAATCAATATATCGAGATCTTTATGAATGCTTTTAACTAACTTGAAAAAAATTTAATTATGATACATCCATAGGCTTAGGACCTGAAAGTCCTAAGTTGTGGGTTGCCCTCTCATTCTCTGGTCTTAAGCCTTCTGGTGCTTTGTTTCTTCTGTCCAGAGCTGAGCCCCCACAGCAGATGCCAGGCCCCTCTGCTGACCTGTCAGCCCAAGCTTGGGTGAGTTGGCTTCATCCTGGGAAACATGAATGTCTTGCCTTAGAGACAGCAGGATATAGAGGAGGCTTGCCTCTACTTACTAGGCTGGATCTTGGAGAAGTCTGTAAGGTGTACTGTTGAGGGTAATTGGGAGTCTGTTGTATAATGTGCCCAGCAGAGGGCCTGGCACCCAGTGAGAACTCAATCAACAGCCTCTCTGGTGACAGTGGTTCTTGGCAGGGTTTCCACTGTTTCCATGTTCCTGGTCTGATGATGGAATTAACTCTAAGGTGATTCGGTGGCGGGGTCCCCAGGGATAGGGCTTCCAGGGGTCCCCAAGCCTGAGGAGTGCAGCAAAGCAGGCCCTCACTGCCCTACTTCTTTGCTTCCCCCCCAGGGAACAACAGGCCACAGCCTTGGGGGGCAGGCACTTACCAAACACCCGTCTGCGGTTCTTGCGCAGGATGCAGGCCAGGTACTCCTTGCCCTCGGCGCTCTCGTGCCAGTCTGGAACAATCACCGAGCCCGGGGCAGGTGGTCTGGCCATGGCTGGGCGCCCCGACAGGGTAGAGAGATGGCAGAACGCTGAGTAGGGGATGGGAGAGGGTAACTGTCCCGAGCTGGACCTGTGATCCCTCTCAACCTGCTCTCTGACTCTCCCTTGGAGCCCCAGCTCCCTCCTTGGGGTGGGGGATCAGCTATGGCCCCCCAGCCTTATCTCCATTAGCGCTATTGGAGCCCGGGCTTCCTTTCAGTCCTGGAGAGTTCCACACTCCCCGTCTCCCCCTTATTACCCAGAAGGTGCAATCCCAGAGTCTCTTCTTCCCCATATTGTTCCCTGGAGAAATACTTATCCCACTATTGCCTCGGGGGGAATTTACACAGCCCTCCCCTCCTTTGTCATCTCGGGGCGGGGGGGGGGGTGTTACACAGCCCTGCTTTTCCTCTGCCTCGATCCCGACTCCCTGGGCCACCCAGCCCTCACCATCAGCAGGTCCCGTCGGCGAACGGGCCCGGGCGGAGCTGGTCCCTTTAAAAGCCCAGCCCGCTCGGCTTGCTTCCGCCCTGCGGGGATCCGGCTTCGGAGCCCGCCGCCCGCCCAGGCGCGGGTGCTTGAGGCGCATGTGCGGAGGCCGTTGTCAGGGAGACGCCGGGGGCGGGGCTGGCCCCTCTGAAGTTCGCCGCTACCACAGCGCAGCGACACCCCCTGGACGGGGCCTTCCCCTCTGGGCCATGGGTCTTACGCATCGCGCGGTCCGACCCCCTAAGCTTTCCTCCAAAACCTGATCAAGTCCCTCGTCTCCAGGAGCCTTCCCCGCCTCTCAGCGCTTGGTCTCCTTCCTATAAAGTGGAGGTAAAATACTATTACCTGCTAGGGGTTGTTGTTTTGGTTCGTTTCGTTTTTACAACAGCGCTCGGCCCATAGCAGTGCTCAGTAAGTTACTGTCGCTGCTGTTACTATCTATCAATTCTGCTCGGCAGGACCTAAGAGATGAGTTAAACGCCTCTGGCTTCACAAGTGGGGAAACAGCAGCTCAGAGGGACTCGCTCAAGGTCTTAAAAATGAGTCAGAGGCCCACAGGATTGTACTGGCCAGTCATTCATTTATTGATTGATTCATCCCATTCATTCAACAAATAATTACTGAGCACCTACTGTGTGTTCCCCCCCGTCCTACGCGCTGACAATACAAAAGACTACCCAGAAGTACTCCCCTCCTGGAGCCGACATTTCAGCACTGAGGCCTTGAGCTCCTCTCCACTGTTCCAACAACAGGCACCGGCCTGTTAACAGAAGGCGGGTGCTCAGTAAATGCCTGTTAGTGGGACAGGATGCAGGTGGGTCCTTCCTCAGAGGTTGTCTATTATGCTTGATTTTCACCAGTATCTTCTTTAGGGCCTTCATGTAGGACAAATCCCTGTTTTGTAAGGAATCTATAAGTTAAACTTTTATTGAAGGCTAACTAAGTGCTAGACCGTGGGCCTTTATAGAGGTGACCTCATTTAACTTCGTAAACAAGCCTGTGTAGGAAATATTATCCCTCTTGTCTTTTACAGAAGAGGGAACTCAGAGACATTGTGATTATCAGAGGTCACATCACACACATGGTCAGTGGGAAAACTAGACTTGGAACCCAGGGTTTTTGGACTCTGAGCATCTATCCTGCCAGACTGGGTCTCGTGTTTTTTACACTCTGCGCCCAGCCACTAAGAGGGCTCTTCTTAGTAATGCTGAAAGCAGCCAGAGGGCCATGAACCCACAAATCACTGCGGCCCATTATGTCCAAGAGAGTAGAAGGGATGCGGCTGTGTGAGACAGGGCTCTTGCTCTCAACTTGCTTCCACGGCAGCCGGGCAGAAATACAACAACTGAATACCCATTCCTATGGGATTCTGCCCCTTGAAACCCTTGCCCACACTCCCAGGTTGCTCAGCTCCCTTTCCTGCAGTTCTTACCGCATCGGCCCAGAGTCAGGATTGGTCACACTGTGTGGAGCGCTCTCTCTCCGTGGCAGGGCTCAGATCTGTGAGTTTCCAGGCTTCACATTTAGCCCTGCTCTGTCTTGGCTCTTGGGAGGGCTCAGGGAGAGTGTGAGGAAACGAAGCAACTTGGCAGAATGAGCTTGCCGGTTCACCTGGAGGCCAGATGTGAAGGCCTCTTGGACAGAGAGGGAGGCTGGTGATCAGAGTTAGTGGCCAGAGGTTTTAGGGGAATCAGCCTTCACTGCCCTCAGGAGCCCCTGAGAGGACACTTCGGTGAGCATCAGGAGGCTGTTCAAAACATGGATTCTTGGGGTCCATCCTCCAGAGATTCTGCTTTAGGGGGCCAGATGGGTCTGTAAGCTTGCACATTTAACAAGAGCACTGGGCAGTTTAGAAAGTAGGTTCTGCATCAGCCTGCAGGGGCTGCCGTAACAATACCACAGACTGGGCTGCTTAAACAACAGAAATCTATTTTCTCACAGTTCTGGCAGCTGGAAGTCCAAACTCAAGGTGCCAGCAGGGTTGGTTTCCGGTGAGGCCTTTCTCCCTGGCTTGCAGGCAGCCGCTCTGTGCACACACACCCTTGGTGTGTCTTCCTCTTTAAGGAGACCAGTATTATTGCATCAGGGTCCCGCCCTGATTACCTCATTTAATCTTTATTACCCTCTTTAAGGCCTTATCTCCAAGTAAGTCACATTGGGGGTTAGGGCTTTAACACATGGATTTTGATGGGGGGTGAAGAGGGAGACACAAGATTCAGTCCATAGCAAGTCCACAGATCTCACGTAAACACTGCTGCTGGCGGCAGGAAGCCAGTCAAGGGTTAGAGCCTGGGAGTGACGTGGTCAGAATTTCATTTCAGAAGGATGCTTGTGGACCATTTTGGTCTGGTGAGTTCCGCTTTCCTGTGCCCCCTCTGACCATTAAATTGAGTGTCCCCCTGAGCAAGATGCTTTTCCCCTTAAGGCCTAAGGTGAAGCAGGTGGACCCTCTATCTAAAGGCCCTTCTCATGTAAAACATCCTGATTAATCCATTTCTTCATGGTTTGGTCTCTCTCCATCCCCCAAGCTGATTGAGCACCTTCTGGACAAGGCCCCATAAGGCCTGGAGAGGATTTATCAAGGCAGGAGGGACAATCACCTGCCTGAAGTAGATGGCCCAGGTGGGCAGGCACACAGGCCTGAGGATCTCGGGGGCAGGGGTGGGTGGGACACCCAGGGAGTGTAAGTGGAGAAGGGACAGTCGGATTTATGTTTCTCTTCTCTTCTCTGTCTGGACACTGCAGCTGTGTCCTGCAGGGTTTGCCAGCTTGATTCTGGAATGCCACAGAGGCACCCGAGTGCTCTTTAGGCAACATAAATCTGGCAATGTCACACCCATGCTTATAGTTTTCCAGTAGTTTTCACTGCACTCAGAATGAATCCAAACCTTGCAACTTCAAGGCCTTTTGCGACTGGCCCCTGACCACCTCGTGCTTTCAGCGGTCACTCTCTTCCCCTTGCCTACCGCACTCCAGCGAGCCTGGCCTTCTCCTGTTCCCACACAGGGCCGCTGCACTGCAGTGCCCACCACCTAGCGCTCTCTGCGTGGCTGCTTCACCTGCACAGAGGCCTACCTCCTCCCCCATGCAAGGACATGCCCTTACCCGCTAGGCTCACTCCTTCACGTCATCCTGTTCATGATTCTGAAATTTTACTTTTTTAAGATTTTTAAGTAATCTCTCCACCCAACATGGGGTTTGAACGTACAACCCTGAGAGCAAGAATCACATGCTCTACCAACTGAGCCAGCCAGGCGCCCCTTGATTCTGAAATTTTAAATTTATTGTTGGTCTCTCTCACCGAACATAGGCTCCATGAGCATAGGGCCTTGTCTTTTTGTTCTCTTCTATCCCCGTTACCAGTTTGCTCGACCTGCAGTAATGAAGTACCACAGACTACGTGGCTTACACAACACAAATGTGTTTTCTCATTTCTGGAGGTTGGAAATGATAGATGGAGGAGTTGCTAGGGGCAGGAGGGAAGGGTCTGCTCAGGCCTCTGTCTCTCTGGCTTGTAGGTGACCATCTTCTCTCCACGTCTTCACACTGCCTTCCCTCCGTATGAGTCTGAGTCCAAATTCACTCTTCTTAGAAGGACATGAATCATACTGGATCAGAGCCCACCCTAATGGCCTCATTTTAACTTAATCACCTCAGTAAAGACCCTCTCTCCAAATATGATTACAATCTGAGGTACTAGGGGTTAGGACTTCAACATAAGAATTCGGGGAGGGGGGGCGGAGGGACATAATTCAGCCCATAATAATCCCTACGGGCTAGAGTATGTCTGACACAGTAAAAGCTCTATAAAGAAACGTGTTGGCTGGGGGCACCTGGGTGGCTCAGTCGTTAAGCGTCTGCCTTCGGCTCAGATCATGATCCCAGGGTCCTGGGATCGAGCCCCACATCGGGCTCCCTGCTCCGCGGGAAGCCTGCTTCTCCCTCTCCCACTCCCCCTGCTTGTGTTCCCTCTCTCGCTGTGTCTCTCTCTGTCAAATAAATAAATAAAATCTTTAAAAAAAAAAAAAAGAAACGTGTTGGCTGACCGGCCGTGGCTGCAGCTTGGGAAATGGCCTCAAGAGGGTGCGCCTGGAAGAAGGACCAGTTAGGAAGCTGGGCAAATATTCCAGGCCTGGGTGGATGAAGACATGTACTTGTCAAGTGTGTACAAACACTCCCTGTGCCAGGCCAGACACGTCGAAGACCACTGTGAAGTACATACAGATCCTGCCCTTGTGAATCCGCCACTGGTGGGGACTGTGATCAAATAACCAGGCAACTGCACTTAGAAGCAGGGCAGTAGGGTAGAGAGGAAGGGCAGATTGGAAATGTCCAGATTCTGTTTAAATAGAAGATTTGGGGCTGAAGCTGCCAAATCATCCCCAGGGAGTTCTTTTGAGCCTGGAATGTGCCAGGCCTGTGCTTGGCAGCAAGGCTAGTGTCCTTGACCTGGACAGCCTCATGCATCACTTCCTGCTTACAACCCTCTACACCTGCACCTCGAGTCATGTCCACCGCCCCCCCCAAGCCACAAGGGCCACCCGCACCCTCTGCCTTCACTCACATACTCCAAACATGCTGGCCTTTCCTCTGCTCCTAGAACTTGTCAAGTTCATGCCTGCCTCAGGGCCTTTGTTGCTGTTCTCTCTGCACAGCTGCTCTTACATTCAGGTCAAATGTCAGCTGAAATGTCACCTCCTTGGAAATGGGAGCCAAACCCATCCCGTTTTTATTTTCCTCATGGTCCTCATCTGGAACGATCCTGCTCAGCTCTTTACACATCTGTCCCTTCTCCCTCACCCCCACTGAAATGTCAACTCCACAGGGAGGGTCTGGCACACAGCATTACATTAACGCAGGGGTGAGCGCCGGCCTCCTCTTCTCTCTATCCAGTCAGCCATCAGGGGCTGAGTTTTCTCCCTATACATTTAAACATCCTCTCTGGTCCAGACCCCACTCCTGCCTGCCTCTCATCCCCATCTCCAATGCATTCTCCAGTTCTGCCCTGTGCACTGACCTTCTCAAGGGTCACACTGACCTTCTCAAGGGTCACACTGACCTTCTCAAGGGTCCGGAAGGGCTGGTCACACTTGGATTTCCGTGCCTTT